GATTCCCAAAGGGTTGGGGTCTGCTGTCATAAACCATATTTTGTAACTTAGCATTTTGTGCAAATCCAACTATACATTCTAAACCAAACTTATTTGTCAAATTTTGAAAGTCCACATCCCCCTCATAGAGGGACAGTATGCAATAAAATATTAAATCTTAAAAACAATATATAAAAATTAAAACATTAAAAAAGAGGCCAGGATGATGAAAATTCTGTTTAAAAACTAATTAAAAAGCTGAAGGGAAGGCCAGGTCCACGGTTGTGTATTACTCCAGGCTTCTCATGTAAGGCTATAGAGCAGGGCTGTCAAACTCAAGGCCCATGGGCCAAATCCAGCCCATAGGGTGCTTAGATCTGTCCAAGGGCTAGCAAAACAATCTAAACATAAAACAAAAGGAGAAACATTTCCCCTATTGCATTTGAGCATGCAAGAATGGACAGGAAAGGAGAAAAGGAAAGAGGAAAGACAAAGAAGAAAAGATGGGAAGAGAGCAAGGAAGGAAAAAGAAGGAAAGAGGGGAAGAAAGAAGAAAGAGGGAAGGAGGGAAGGAAGGAAGTGTTGGAAGTTAAAACCCACCCCCTCCTAGAAAAATGGAATGTTTTAGGATATATTAAAAAGGCAAAATATTTTCCCTAAAAGAGAAGTAGGAACTCAGAGAGGCAGAAGCTCAGCCCCCCCGCCCCTTGGTTAATAGGCCAGTAAGGCCTGGGGCAGTCTATTCAACATAACAAAGATCTACCTCCTTCAGGCAGAGCCATTTGATTGCCTTTATTGCAGCACCCACCAAATTTCAACCAAACTTAGAACACAGACAACCTATAAATTTACCCCTGCATGGGAGTCTGACAACCTAGCAGGATACATTTCTTACCACAAAAACAAGAAACAAGTTCAAAGCCCAACAGAGGGTATAAATATATCTCACTCTCTACTCCATGTGGTCAGCTACCCAGAATCACATGTGCTTGGTGGTTCTGCTTCACCATTCAATCCTCCATGTTTCCAGTGTCTTTCTTCCCACTTGGAACTGAGGAAGGAAGGAAGGAAGGAAGGAAGGAAGGAAGGAAGGAAGGAAGGAAGAAAAAAGGAAAGAAGGAAAGTTATAATGAGAGGGAGGGAGGGTCTGAAGAAAGTCCTGCCTTAACATTTGGCCACCATAGGTGCCCCCGACATGACTGATGTCAAGCTGGCCACCCCCTGGTCCCCCCAAGGTCAAACACAACCCTGATGCAGCCCTCAGTGAAATGTTGTAGAGCCATGTTTTCAAATCTTCCCCAAAGGTCAAGAGAGTGGATGCCTGCCTCACATCCTAGGGAGTGGGAGAGTTTCCACAGGATGGGAACCACAGCAGAGAAGGCTCTTTTCTTAGATCCTGCCAGTCAGAATTATTTAACTGATTGGGTCTACATTACATACCTTTCCTGCCTGCCTGAGTGGGATGGGCTTATGTAATGCCATATTTATACTAAATTTTTAGTATTAAGTATAATACAGGTCATTCTTGAATTATGACTGCAATGGAGCCTGCCCATCATGGTCATAACTCTTGACAATTGTAGAGTGGGTCAGTCACATGACTGACTCAATTTTATAAACCATTTTTTGACCATCATTAAGCGAATGCCATGGTTGTTGACCAAACCAATGGTCCACTATGGGCACAGTTTTGCCCAAAATCAAAAGTAAATCCCAGTTTTCAGGAAAGCCATCATAAAATGCAATCCCATGATAGTGGGATATGGCCAACAGTCATAAATGCAACCTGGTTGCTGAGCATTTGAAGTGTACTTGTATGTCACCCAACTGTCAGAACTTTGAATATGGATCAAAAGTACCCCCTTAAATAGGTCCATTGGACAACCATTTGAATGGTTGTAAAGATGCACGGCATGACACAGGCTGTATCTGCAAATGAATGTGGAGGTAATAGAAAGTCCGAAGACAATTAAGTTCACCAAAAAGGCATTTCATCAACTGATAAGATAGCTTCTCACATAACTTTTTGCAGATGCTTAGCATGATGGTCATAAAACTTTACAAGCCAGCCCTTTGGCATGGATGTGGCAGAATGCAATATGTACTCATTGTCTGTCACAGGGAACACAGCATGTTTGTTCTTGTATGTACTGTTAATAAACCTTATGATGATCACGCTAGCCTTCATCAATTCTTTTCTTGGAAATCTCTCATTGCTAGCGCCCCCTGGAGGACTTTACAATTGGTTTCCAAGAAACAGGCCTGGGATAAAAAAGAAAGGAAGGAGATGGGACTGGAAGAGAATCCTGGGTTGGCCATCTGGGTTGTACTGGAATTCATTCGTAGACTGGCTTCATCAATCAGAGACACCAAGGAATTGGGGAGATTTCCTAATTTCCTAGCAGTGCCTAAAAAATTTAAAACTTTTAGTAGTAAAAGCTCACAGTTGCTCAGTTGCTCAGAATGGATGGAATTTGCTAGAAAGCCTTTATAATGATAGTTGATTAAAAATGGAGCTTTGACGGCACAAAACAAGAAACTGCAGGTTGGAAGCACGAAAAGGAAATTCGTTTGTTGTGAATTCAGATGAAGTAAACCTACATTGTGTGTCAAAACCTGGTTGATAACTGCACTTTGTTCTGGTTTTGTCCTTAACCATGAATTAGAAAACAGCATTCCAAATAAAGAAGTAAAAAAAGATGTTTTTGCTTTGTGAAATTTGAGATCTAATTCAGTGTGTGCATTTGGAACTCCTTGCAAAGGGAGTGACAGGTTGTCAAAATCCATGGAGATTCTAAGTCATCTGCATCACGGTTGTCCCCAAAGTGCTTTTTCAAGAGGCCACTGGACTTTCTTTGTTTTTCCTTGGAGATGTTTCACTTCTCATCCAAGAAGCTTCTTCAGCTCTGACTGGGCTTCTTCAGCTCCTTCCATTCCCCACCATCCAGTCAGAGTTGAAGAAGCTTCTTGGATGAGAAGCGAAACATCTTCAAGGAAAAACAGAGAAGTCCAATGGCCTCTTGAAAAAGCATCTTTGGGTTTTTGTCAAAGGTATGAAATGAAAGGCTAACAATTTTTGTGGAGAGACAGTTTGATATCGTTATGAAGTACCAAGCTAGACATTGGGAAACTTAGTTTAGTCCTGCCTTTGCTTTAAAGCAGACAACTGGGGACAATTGTGTACTTACTCTCTCTCAGTCCTAGGAATAAGGCACTGGCAAGTGGCTGACAATGCTAGGAATCACAACTAACTCAAAATAGAGGTTAGGGTCAGGGTTAAGATTACATTCCCACCTAATGTTTTCCAGAAAAATAAACCTTAATAGTTAGTCAGTGGCACAGTGATTGCAGCATTGCAAGCTACTTCTTCAACCAGCTGGCTGCAATTTGGCAGTTGAAATCCCACCAGGCTCAAGGTTGACTCAGCCTTCCATCCTTCCAAGGTCAGTAAATTGAGGTTCCAGATGGTTGGGGGCAATATGCTGACTTAGAGAGCTTAGAGAGGCCTGTAAAGCACAAAGCAGTATATGCTATTACTATTGCTACATACCCTTGGGAAATTTAGTTCCCTGAAAACAGCAGGAAGAACAAGAACTATAAAGAAAAATTTTCAGTGTCTTAAATCTTGGAGCAGTAGGAAGAATCTTGCTTCCTTCTCTAGTATAAAAGTCACTGTAATAAATGGGTTCATTACAATAAGATCACAATTTTTTAAAAAATAAATTTTATTAATTTTACAATTAAAAACAGATCTACAATACATACACAAAAAACAAGGCCTTGACAAGGCCAAGAAAAGAAAGAGAGATGTAAAAAGAAAGAAAAAGGGAAGAAAAAAGAAAGAGAAATGAAAAAGAAACATTTAAAAAAAACCAATATCCTTTTTGAGTCTGTAAGATCTATTCTTCTTAAGTTGTAACATATACGCATAATAAGATAACACAATTAAGTGGATCACTGCAGTTGATAAGTTGTTAAGTTAATCAGGGTTCCCAGTTTTCTTTGCTTGTGGGAAGTTTGCAAAAAGTGATCACGTGACCCCGGGAGGCTGCAACGGTCATAAGTATGAATCAGCTACCAAGCATTTGTAGTTTGATCACACAATCATGAGGATGCTTCAAAGGTCGTTAAACTGAAAAAAAAACACCCAATCATAAGTCCCTTTTTTCCTTGAAACTTTGGTTACTAAATGAACTGTTGTAAATCCAGGACTACCTATTTGTGCTTATTCTATGTCCCCCCATGCTTCCATCCTGAGAAGAATTTTCAAAAATAAGGAATTGTAGGGAAATTTGTAGTGAAAAAAATCTGAAAGGGGACATTATTGTTATATGGCGTCAAACTCTTCCGAGAAATTAATGCACCAAAGAAAGATTGGGATTTTTTAAAATTATTATTATTATTGGGTTTTCAAATACACAACGACCCTGTGAGGTAAAGCGGAGTGACGGAGCGACAAGGCTTCTGTCACTTCTCACGTAGTAGCGCCTTGGAGCGGAGTCACTCCCCCCCCCCCCCCCCCCCCGCTTCTAGCCTCCGCTAACAACGCGTCACTAGCAACCACTCCTGGCAAGTTTCTACGTTACTCTTTCCCTACTACGGAAGCCGATAGGAGGACAGTTTTCTTCAAAATAACAGACGCGTTGGAAAGAGGGGTAGCAGCGTGCTCCGAACGTCCCCCCCCCCCCGCGTGCACAGAAGCGTGCAAGCGGGTCCCAAGAAAGAGCCGGTGACGTCACTCCCACTTCGATTCACGTGCCGTTCATCTTTTTTAAAAAATCATGCCGCGCCCCCTTCTTCCCTTTTCTCCTCTCTGCGCGCGCGCGCAAAAGAGATACGGCTTTCCTTTCTAGCCAATCACGAATCGGGCCGGTCTATATCTCCACCCCCTAGTCCACAGACTCGCGCTTTCTCCTCCGGGACGTGAGATTGAGAGGTGGGAGTAAGCAGAGAGCTGTACGCACGACTTAGAGCGAAGGAAGAGGCGAGTATCAAACTTTCAGGCATTAACCAATAATCTTCCTCGGACCGAGGCGGGACTTCCGCCGGGAGCCGGAAGAGAGGCTCGTGGGTCTCCCTGGCGTTCTCTCTCTCCCTTCTCTTCTATCCTCTCCCTCTCTCCCTCGTATGTGAGCGAATTGTCCCCGCTGCTTCTTGGCATCGAAACGTTCCGGGGCTCGGACCCGCTGCCGCCGCCCCTGCCCTCTCCTTCTGCCGCCACCGATCCGCGCCCGTCCCCTCCCGCTTGCCGCTTCTCCCTCTTCCTCCTCCTCCCTGCTGCCGCCGCCACTTTTCCGCCTGGACGCCGCCGCCTCTGCCCCTCTCCCCGGTTTCTCTCGCTCTCGCTCTCTCACCCCTTCCTGGGACTCGGAGGCGGCGGCGGCGGGGGTCAGCGGCGGAGGCGGCGGCAGCGGCGGCGGCGGCAGCAGAATTCCCGACCCGGCTTTCCAGCGAGATTCCTCCGGCCCTCCGGGGCCTCCTTAGCCTTGGTTTTGACAGGTGAGTGAGGCCCCGTTTCCCCTCCGGACGCCCGTTTCCCAGTTTCCCCCCACACGCACCCGCCATTTTCTCACCCGAGGGCCCTCACGGGGGCGGGGCTGGCCTCAAGCCGACGGGTCCGGATTTAAGGCCTGGTTCTGCCTGGCGGCAGCTCTGCACTGCGTCTGCCCGGGAGGCCTCCGCGGGAAGGAAACGCCGAGTTTGGGATGGGTCGTCTTCCCAAGCTTCCCTTCCCTGGGCTTCCTTGGCCGGCTTCGTGTTTCCGCAAAGCCCTGGGGGGCAGGGAGGGAGGGAGTGAAAGAGGGGAGGAAGCTGTCTTCCCAAATTCTCATATGGCCTCCTTCCATACTACCGCCCCCGCCCCAAGGAGGGAATCCCGGCGTTTCCACTCCTTTCTCTTTCTGTTTTCTGCTGCTGCTGCCATTGTGGCTTTCTAACAGCCTTTAAAGTTCACGCGGTAGCCTCAAACTCCACAATAGTAAAGCTCTTGGACTGGCACACCTCTCTTGGCACATCTTGGTTCGTTGTCACTAAAGGAACAGCGAAAAAGTTACTTCCCCAAACCCCCCCCCCATGCTTAAAGTGATACCTTAAACTGAAAGGCTTGAATTCATGGGCCTTCCTGAACTCTGGTTAAGTGGTGGCTTTGTTTTGTATTGCTTTAAAAGAGGAAAATGTGGGTTGCCTTGGACCTAACACCTTTTTCTTCTTGTGTCTCTTAAATTGGAAAAAGCTAATGTGGCAGGTTTATAGAGATTAATTGCTGATATAGGTATCTTGGACTCTGTTTTGGCTTTTTAAAAAAATAAAAAAACATTGCTTAAAGGAAATAAGGTTATGTGTTACAGCAGTAGTAGACTGAACACTGCCTACTAGGATTATATGTACTCTTCAAAAGAGAAATGTATTTTACCTTGGTTGCATGTCACTCCCACAAAAACTGAATTATCATTTAGGAAACAACTTTTCCTTCTTGTTGGGTTTGATTCTCTACTTATATCAATACCTATGTGAACATAAGCCATTTAGAGTTATAATTTGAACTGTGTCAATATTTACTTATTTTAGAAATAAAGAAGTTATGCTTACAGTGGAAATAATTCATCTCTAAGACAAGAGGAACTTTTTAAGGATATAAATGTTTAATCAATAGGTTATTCATTGAGAATGTTAGCAGCTATATCCTATATGGCAGGGGTCTCCAACCTTGGCAACTTTAAACCTAGAGGACTTCAACTCCCAGAATTCCCCAGCCAGCGCTGGCTGGGGAATTCTGGGAGTTGAAGACCTCCAGGCTTAAAGTTGCCAAGGTTGGAGACCCCTGCTATATGGTACTTAGTTAAATGTCATCATTGACAGTGGTGCAGTTATGGTCAGAGTTTGCAAGGTCAAATATCAATATATATGTGAGGTCATTTACTAACATATCAAAGTGTTTTGGCATAAAGAGAATCTTTTTCCATCTGGAGTATTAACTGTGACTAGATAAAAATCTCTGCTCCATTTAATATGCAAATAAGTAGCTGACATTTTCATTAATCTCAGTCAGGCGTTTGTCAAGGACTAAAGTAGCAGAGTTCTAGAAAAATCAAAATTGAAATTCAAGCACTGACCTCGAGATAGTCTGATCCTTGCCAGACACTGACCTCGACAGTCTGGTCCTTAGTATAATGCTCTTTACAGTCTGTAAGCAGCGGTTTTGTGTCAGTAGCGAGTTTGCAGGAGACACGTTAGGTCCTCCAGCAAGTGCTTCTAGACAACTTCTTTAAATTTTTGTTCTCCATAACCATAAGTTCCAATTGAGAGGATATATGTAAGTTTTTGTAGTATAAAGAGTTACATGATACAATTATATAGCTAATTACTGTATGTTTGGAGAAAAATTTCTGACCACTCCATTTGGTTTCTATATTCTAATTCTGTTACAAATCTAGTGTAGTAAATCTTTTAAAGACATTTTAAAGAATAGAGATGAATGGCACAAGTTTTTATGAACTAATGTTTCCTTCATCAGGAGCATCCAATAGAATGGATTTTAATACCAAATTTATGCCTTAACAAATCTGTTATATTTAAGGTGCCCCAAGACACTGAGCTGGTTTTACTACAACAAAAACTGCTACTTTTTTGTAAGTGATTATATCTGGCAAGTTGCTAAATAGGTGCCATATTTGTCTTCTAATTATAATTTGTATTCAAAGCTGATGTCACGCATAGAAGTTGGCGTCACCATTGTAAGCATATTTATTTAGATGGGAGTTCTGATTTACTTCTATGGTATTTTCTAGTTTGTAGTTTTAAATTGATAAAATCTAACTTATTTTCCTATTTTTTTTTTGTGTCCAACCACTACATTCTGATAGTATTTGTATAGTACTATAAACATTTATATCTGTTTATATCTATAAACTTTTTTTTGGAGTAGTTTTTTAGAATTGCTAATATCACTGGGCTAAAAGTCAACCAACATATAGAGAATGTTAGTCAAAATCTTGATCATACAAGGCTTACTTGTATGGCATGATTTACTAAAGGATGCAATATTTTCTCAGTGTAAGACAAATAAGTTTTGTTTCAACAAGACATATTGAAGGTTATGAATTACATATTGTATTGAAAATCATAAATATTGAAAGTTTTATGTTTGTATATCTTAATCTTGGCTACTTTAAGCTGCATGGACTTTAATTCCCAGAATTCAAAGTTGCCAAGGTCAGAAACACCATTTTATGTAATATATAAATTGTGTGTGAAATAGTGAATTTAATTCCTTTTAAACATGAGATGCTTTTAGCAATTGTGGTTGTATCTTCAAATAATTTTTAAATGTTTTCTGAAAATCTAGGTACAAATAGCAGTGCAACTGTGTAAGGTAGGATTTAAAGTCTAGTATAGTTGACAACTAAGCTTATTCTTTTTAAATAACACTTTTAATATTTTTTAATTGTAAAATATATGGTAGGTTGTAGAAACATATCGAATCATGTCTGATTTTAATAGTTCCAGGTCTTTTCCTGCTTGAAATTGGCATTCCTTATTGTCTTCTGTTGGAAGAGTTATTTCTTGCAAAATACATAAGGTACGCTTTCAGGAACAAGCCCATCTTGCATTCTTCTCAATAGTTGATTCACATCTTTAAAAGGTAATATTTTTTTGTCACATTTGTTACTAGTGGTTCTCCAGGGATTGGAGAGAAAATGGGGACTAATCATTTGTACTAGTGACTCAATGTTATGTAAAGTAAATTACTAGATTTAGTAGCAGTGGCAGGGAGTATAAGAAATATTTGGCACATATATAACATATATACATACATACATATAAAACACACACACACACACACACATGAATATTGTAGTAGGTCATAATAATAAAGAAGTATTGTGTACAGTATATAAGTAAGATACAATGTATTTTTAGCTTATAATCACATTTTTTTTGCCTCTGAGTAAGCTGCAGTTTATATTAAGTGTGGTAAATCAGCTGAAAAAGATAATTTTGTTTAACCACAAAGGTTGTCAGAAAGAAGAAATGACCAAACTATGTGTATCAACATGTTAACAATTGACAAGTTAACTAGAATCTTTTGCTACTGCCTGCAATGACTAGTATGTACATCTCTTTGACTCCCCAGACATAACAAACCAACATGAAATCACAATCTTGAATGTGAATACAATTTTTGTAGCTATAAGCTTTGTTTACTTTGATTAGCTGATACCCATAATAAAAACAGTTTATTAATATTCTAAACTTTTTGGAATATTAATGTAGTGGATCATGGATAAACTTTTGAGAGCAGTGAATAGCAACATACATCTGTTCTGTGATATCCTTTTTAAAAACAAGCAACTTTTTAGTTTCCTATATCCCATCCTATCCCCATATTGGTAAGAGTGGTTCCAATTAGAAAAATACTCAAATTGAACTGAGAGACACAAGGTTCTTTATCCCTACCACATAACAGCTCAGTTCTTTAGTTCACTTTAGATCAGTCCTGTATGAGGTTTAAAATAAACTAAAGATCTGAGCTAAAGCTTTGATGATTTCTCAGCAAAGCCTTTGTATCTACGGTATATTAGTACATTAAAATGAAATCCATAGTAAATAAGAAATTGTATGAGGTAGGAATATTTTTATTTTTCTTGTAATTTTGTCCTTGAACACAATGGCTACATATATTGGTTCTGCTGGACTAAAATGGCAGGCAAGTCAACATGTTTCTGAAAAATATGCAGAAATTCTGCTTCACTTTCCAAAATGTTGATAGCCAAAAGCACGAATGTATGTGATACATGAATGGTTATTATAGTTGCAAGTTAATAGCTAGAAATACTTGATAGAGGAAACTGACTTTAAATAATAGGCTTCTAAGGTATGTATAATTAAAAAGGTCTAAGTGTGTTGCCTAAACTATAGTTTAGTTTGTTTGTTTTATATATGTATGACACATGGTTATGTTATTTCCCAAAAATAAAAATACTTTTGAATTATGTTTCCTTGAAAACATCCAGTTTTAACATTATGAATTTATGAAGTTTTAGCATACTCATTTTTCATACTCAGTAATGTTACTTTACTGACTCTCTTCAGATTAATGTGAATTTTAAAGGAATACCCTAGAATGCCTTGTTTAAATAAAAATTGGAGTTTTTTCAAGAATTTAGGATAGATTTTTAAAAATATCTACAGCACAACCTGCATAAAGCTACTATTTCTTCCTTGTGATTTTTTTTATATTTTAAAAGTATGTTCTTTCCTTAGCTACCTCAATCTGAATTGATCAAGTACCAGAAATACATTTGAAACACTATGAACCTTCCCTTGAAGTTTGCTTCACAAACAAAAAATTGTCATGTTTCACTTGGTCCTTAGATCAATTGCATGAAAAAGTTTATACACCCCTGGTCAAATTATATGTTTCAGTGAATCCCTAAGTGAACAGAAGCTGATGTAACATCTACATAGTAGAGTGTTAAACATTAAATCTTTCTGCATATTTGAATGCATTCTTACTAGTTATGTGTAGTTGTTTAAGAAAAGAAAACAATAAATATGGATAGGGTACAAGTCTGGATACCCTTTTTAGTTAGTATTTGTAACACTTCCTAAGGTAGATAATGCAGCTTCCTGAAGCCATCTAAAGATGCCCTTGCAGCTCAGAAATATTCTCGGGCCTCCTTACATGCATTGTGTACTTGAAATCTCCTCTCAGATTTTCACTTCTATCCCAGTCTGAGAGCCATGAAGGATGCTCCAAAACAGGTGTCCTTTTTCCTATGCTTCATGGTTGATTTTGTAGGTATATTTTGGATGTCGCCACATGCACACATCTCTTGATCTATTCACATTGTGTTATGCTGCAGCATATGCTGTTCAAGCATTTTGTACTATTTCTGATAGAATTTTGGTATGTATAAAAAAAACAAACCAACATTTTGGGTTATTTTTTCCAAAATGTTTTAAAATCTTATTCCAGTTCCTGCATAGTGAACTGTTAACTTTATGGGACATATACTTACATAAAGATCATTGGGAAAATATTCTGAGTCATTTCTGTATCATTCCCCACCCCATATGTCTAATTTAATTAGGATATTCCATGAATTTCCAGAGACTCTCCTAGGTACAAATAACTGGTTATTGTCTTTCAGTGTCATAGACATAGAAAGATACAGTATCTTTTTAGGAAACATTACACCAAGAATACAGTACTACTTACAACTTGGTTTTGCCATATAGTTTGTTTGAAATTGTTTAAGTTTTGTGCATTTTCAGAGTTCTGTGGGAGCAGGATATGTACTTTGCCTGCTGTTAGTTCATATCTTCCAAGTTAAGATAGGACAAATACAGAAGGTATTTTTCCTTTTAAAATCTGTGTTAAAAACTAATGAACCAATTTAATTTTATGAAGTCTAGAGTGCTTTTCCCAGCTTCTAATTTTATATAATTATAAAATAATATACTATATGTACAACTATTAAATGTCTTGGTTGTTACTAGATCCCCCCCCCCCCCATTGGTAATGAGTGCAGCAATGATTTGGTTTCATAATAAGCATAGATTTAATCTTGTTACATATATAGCAAGTGTACTGTATCATATTATTTGATAGATTTGTTTCATAGTAGGTTAAATAGAGGCTAATTGCAGTGGTGGTGGTAATTGTTATGACTCACACCTTTAACTTCTAGGACATTCTCCTGCTGACCTTGTCCTTGAGATATAGATAGGAAAATAGCACTTTGGAAATAATAATTTGCTACTCTCAATTTTTGCCAATTATTGAGCTTTCTTCTGGCGCCAGAATCATTTGTTTATGGTAAGGGTAAAAATTGTTGGTTGTAATTATTGTCTTTAGTGAGAAAGCCACCTCTCATCTTTTAATTTTTTTCTTGCCTTAAAACTGTCAAGAATGCTTTAAATTCCGGCAGCTTTAAAAAAAAGAAGAAGAAGTAATCGTGGGAAAAGTATCTTTATTATTTAGTAGCTGTATTCAAACATTTGTTCAATTAGTGGCTGCATTTACACATTAATAACAATGGTTCACTTTACATATCACTCTAGATTGAAGCCAGACTAATTGCTTTATGGCTAAATATGATGTTTGAACCAGCCATTGAATTAAAATTCACTTTATTAATGCTGTGAGTAGCTGTTATTTTTACTGAGCTGCTCTATTGTGGTAAAAACAAGTTAGATGTGTTTAGCAGACATTTCAATAACATATAGATCAGCCATATTCTTGCTTGAATTGCTAATAAATGTCGATCAGATTGTTTACATATTACTTGAATATAATATATAGAAGAACCAGTATACTTAATCTAAGAATAGAAGGAGTCACAATTAGGGTTTTTTTTAAAAAATTTATACTGGGCAATAAACATTTCTTCATGCCAGAAGCCTTGGCATAATTACCAAACTTAGCACTTGGCAGAGCTTAATGCGAATTTCTACTATCTCCTCATGCAGTCCATTTGAACAGAATGACTAAATCGGGATTTCATGACTTCAATGTTAGTTAAGTATTTACCTTGTCTTTTTTGGTTTTTGCTCCAGTCAGAGTTCGTAACCTTTCTGTTAGCCTAATAAAGTTTAACCTAAAATGAATTTTGAAATCCGAAAAAACACTGGTGATGAAAATCATGATTATAGTTATTCTGTTATATTCCTTATTGTGGCACTGAAATTACATTAGAATCATTATTTTGGGTTATTCCTTTTTTCACATTTAGCATGTCCGGAATAGCTGATTATTTGAATTATTTCAACTGTGCACAGATGCCCAAAGAGTAGAACTGCTTGAGGAGATTTCAGACATTCACATTAAGCTCTGCCGGGTGCTAAGTTTGGTTGTTGTGCCAAAAAGTAGGTTTTGTGGACTTCTTGTACAGTTATTGTTTTGGCTTGTTCGTTGACTGAGTGGATTGTGCTCACTGGTTATTGGTTTTCACTTTATTTGTTCTTTTATACAGGTAGTCCTCGACTTATGACCACTCTAAATTACAACAGCCCTTCTCAGCAGTACTTACAACATGGTGGCTGGGCATCCCTGCAGTCCTATGACCGCATTTTGGGTACTTGACAACCATTCCACATTTATGGCTGTTTACAGAGTGAGGTTTTGCCAGAACAGCAAAACTGGATCAGAGTTGAACAATTAATTTGTTTAACAACTGTGGTATTCACTTAATGACCACCACAAAAAAGTTATAAAACTGGGTCAGTCATATGGGTGGGTGGCCCCATTTTACAATCATGATGGTGTACAAATGCCAGTTTCCAAGTGTCTGAATTTGGATCATGTGACCATGTGGGGATGAGTTGTAAGTCACTTTTTAACATTCTTAAGTCACTTGTTTCAGTTTGTAACTTCATATGGTCACTAAATGAATGGTTTTAAGTAGAGGACTGCCTGTAGTTTTTAAAGCAGCCCCGTGTAAAGTGCCTTGTTGTACTAGGTCAAGGGGTAATGAGGGCATTTTTTACTGTAGTCAGACCCTTTTGCACAGCATAAGACTATAATTGTTGCACCTGGTGGAATTGGACAAAGGTTCATCTAATCAAAACCTGCAT